ATCCATTTCTAGTGCAGAGGCTGCTGAAATAAGAAACGACTGGTCAGGGGGAAAGATAAAAGAGAGGATAAAAGCCCAGGAGAGAAAGGATGTAAGGGTTTAGACGAGCCATGCTCAATGGTGGTGGGAGAAATCAAAGTCGAGAGGAGAAGGGAAAATACGATGTTCCACATCACTAATGGTTGGACAGTATAAGACTTTCCAAATGATGGAAAGTGAGACCATTGAGTCACCGGTGCTGTATGCATCTTCTAAATAGGGTAGCATGCACAGACTTGTTTTTCCCCTGAATAAACTGAATTGATCTAAATCGTGTATTGTAAGAATGTTTCATCTAACATGCCAAGTCCTGTAGATCAAAAGCACATATTTAAGAATTATGTTTAAGATATGGAAACCACATCTGGGCTTAGCAGGAAAGGGCACCCAAACTGGTGAGCAAAGCCTGCCACATACAAGGGAATTTGCTATCCTTGCTCTAAATAATTGCATTCACCTGCATTTCACATGCTTTCCTCTTCGCTTGGGTCACCTAGAGCTACAGCAAGAGACAAAGAAAAGGAAACCAGTTCTTTTAGACTTTTAAAAGTTGTTATTATTAAAGACCCAGTGTTAACTCATCAGGATTGCTTTTCTTTTAATGATTTTAGAGAAGAAATAAAATCTGCAGACAACAAAGGCGATTTCCTTAGCATAAAGTTGAATGTTCTAAAGAAATTTGCATTTCCAGTGGTGGGAAGTGTCAGGTCTTTTTTGGATTCAGATCCCCTTAGGCCACACCAGGGCAAGAAGGTAATGTTTATAACATCTGAATCCCTGAACCAGTGAATAAAAGATATCAGTGTTACTTAGCTGAGATGTGAATAAATATTCATAACAATGGCACATGCATAGCTAACTGAATGACTTTTGTTAATATTAAACTAGGTATTCATGGACATGTGCCTTTTTCTATAATGAAAATATTGCCTTGGGCTACTTTTGTTTTTCTTGTCTAGAACAATTTATGTGCTTTCAGTGAAATGACTATAAACTCCTATTCTCATGACAAAAGAATTCACCATTAATTTGAGGAAAGAATTTCTTTATTCCCTTTGTGGTATACTTTATTGAAAAAGCAAACCCTAAACCTATCTTGAAACTTTTTCTGCATGCATTATATTTAATTTCAACAACACATTCAATGTCTATAAATAGAGATTTCTAGAATTATTAGAACCAGATGTATTGTTATCAAGTCCATAAGAGATTTTTGTTTGGATTAATTTCAAAAGTAATAAAAACAAAGCAATACAAAATACAAAATAAGATCCCTATGTGGCTGTTTGTGTGAAGCTTGAACCTAATATTTTCCTTACTTCCTCAATCTTTGGTTTCCCATCTTTTTTCTATCTTTCTCTCCTTTATTTCTTTAGGTGCAAACAATGGATATTTGTTATTCATTGGCTGCTTCGCTTTTATTCTTTCTTCGTATCAGCACCCTGACTTCCTTTTGGAAAATAAGCTCATCTTTACTGGTTTAGTCCTAATTCTGCCTCCCACTGAGAAGCCTGGGAACCTGTGTAATTCTCTGAATATAGGGGTATATAAAATTCATAGTATGATCCAAGTGTTCCTCCAATTCACAATCACACTGTAGTGATGGCAATTGAATTGAACGGAACTTGAAGCAGCTGAAGTAACTAGACTAACCCTGTCAGAGCCTCAGTGTCACTCATTTGTTGTTTTCAGGGCTGAGAAAACCAAGAGATAATCTATAAAGATCCAAAAATATACACGGGATTGGTTGTTTTATAATCTGCTACCTGGGGCTTGCTCACAAAACTTATTCTAGGACAGTAACTTGGCTGGTGATCAAAAATCTTCTGTACAAACTCAAATTGGGAATCCTGACCCAATTCAGGATGTTCTGAGTCACCAGGTCTGGGGTGGAATCAGTATTAATAAATGTGTGTAATCTAAAGAAAGAAGCACTATAGTAGGGGACCCAAAATGAGATGATTTTGGCAAGCCAGAGGAGAAATGTTGAAGTTCCAAATTAAGGCAATAATAATAGGAAATGAATAAAAAGGAATGGAATGGAAGTATATTTAAGAGGTAAAATAAGCCAGCCATGCTAATGATTAATTTAATGGAGTTGAAATAAATAGTGTCAAGTGTGAACACTAAGTTTTTAGCTTATATAACTGGATAAATAGTTTCTCATTGTTAAGACAGAACATACTGGAGGAAGAGAAACTTTCGAAAGAGATATGTTTGGACTTAATGGAAGTTTTTGTGTGGTATCCAGGAAAAATATTCAGCATGGAAGCATGGTCTGGAGCTCAGGTTAAAGATAATTTCTAGAGATACAAATTTGAGCACCAAGTACATACAGATGGTGGTTCTAATGGTGGGAAGGATAAGATCATTCAAAGAAGGTTTGGAAGAGGAAGAGTGTTGAGTCACGATTAACCATCTAGGAACAGTAACATTTAAGGAGCATGAAAAGACACCTGAGAAGAAATCTGAGACAAAATGTCCAGAAGAGGTGGAAATAGAAGAGGCAAGTATAGACAAAGGGGAAAAGGATGCTATGAAATATGAAGCAGTCACCTGTATCAGTCACAGGGAAGGTCCATTAATATAAAGACTGAAAAATGCAGGGTGAGTTTGCAGAAAAGCTCCATTTATTTTTGACCAAGATGGTCAAGTGAAATTTTGGGAATAAACTTAGGGTAGAAGTGTGTTGAACAGGCAAGTCTTCCAAGATCATCAGGTATTTTATTCAGTTCAGATCCTCCATCCCATGTATAGGACAATCCAGGGTTCACAAAATGCCAAACATCTAAATCTGAAGTTATTATTCAGTCAGATACTGTCCTACAAGTTTCAATTCTATGGCAGATATTTAGCTCCTCACCAAAAATCTGTGCTCCCCTTTCATGGTTGTTTCTGGTTGATAGCTGTGGAGCTACAGACATTTCCAGCAGCCTTTGTATTTAAGTATGATCAGAAGACTAGATCTCACCAATGTAATGAGAGTAGAAGTGATATTAGTCACTTACTTACTTTTAAGAGGCAGAATTCTCCACTCTTTCTTTTCGTTTTTATCAGCTACATGCAGAGGACTCCGAAGCCCAAGGTCACAGCAGATCACAAAATGGAAGGAGTCTGTGTATCCAGATCATTCAAGAGGAGAGCCACCAGCAAACCATGAACATCTGCAGTGGGTTATTATGTGTCCGTGTATATTTGTCTTAATAGCTTTAAAATGAACCATATCTGAGTATGACATGACACAAACTTGTAGGTTTATATATACATACATATACATATATATATACACACACACACACACTATATATATACATATATATATATACATATATATATATATATATATATATATATATATAATAGAAATATAGGTTGTAACATTTATTTGATACAGTCTGAGACATTGTGGTCCATCTTCCAATTCATTGTTTACAGACTTTACTAAGTTAAAGTTCAGTGATGCTCTTCAAAGGTAACAAGTTGTGTTAAGCACTAAATCAACCAATCAATTAATTCAATTCAGAAAGCAAATTAAGATCATCTGGTAAGTAAAATGCTACTCTTTCTGCTAGATGATTAAACCTTAATGATTCATCAATTATTATTTTCCTTGTGGGTTACATTAAGATATTCTCAATTCATTATTTCTACTCAGATAATTGGTAGTCTGCCTATGAACCAAAAGAATAGAAATAAAGATGCTATGTTCTTTTTTCTTAAATGCCATATTAAAAAGTAATATAAGGTTTTGTTCTGAAGCCAGGGCGGCTATTAGGGTCTTCTCTGTAAGTGTGACTGAGGGGTGCATGGGGCTAAAATCCTTTCCTGCTCCACTTACAAAGTATAGACCCGGGCAGAGACTGCATCCATGCAGAAGAAAGGAACATCTTTTACTAATTTGTACAAAAGTAACTTGTGGGCTAGCAATGACCCTTGATAAGAACTTTCCCCCTGAATCCTGGAACTCATTTCATACAAATTACATTGAAAGTTATATTTTCATTTTTAATGGTTTCATGAATTTGATTAATAGACATGTCAAATTACTTTCAAATATTTGTTCTTACAGATAACACTGCATTGAATAGCCTTCTACATACGTGTGAAGACTGCTCTAGCATAAATTCATCAAACTGGAATGGCTGCATCAGAGAGCCAGTGTATCTGCAATTTTCATACATACTATAAAGTCACACTTTATAAATGCTGGGCTAATTTACAGTCCCTCCAGAAATATATGAATGTGTCTGTTTACTCTCACCTCCAACAACTAATGCGCTATCTGACTTTCGATCTTTGCTAATTTGATAGGTGAACAGCCCCCTCTCAGGTAGTTTCATTTTGAATTACACTTATTATGAGAGAAGGATCTTCTCAAATGTTTGAAAACCAATTTACGTATTTTTCAATGAACTATCTTTTTATTTGTATGATAAACTTTTGCACATTGTTTCATTTTCAATATTTCTTTGTCAATATCTCTTAAGTGTGTGTTTATTATATTTATCAAATTGCTGGATTTTATATTTTGATATAACTTGACAGTCTTTCTCTTTTAGTAGGAAAGCTTATACCATTTATATTTATTGATATGAAATATACCTTTCGATTATGTGTTGCCTTCTCTTATTCTTATTTTTATGCTTTTCCCAATCTTTCATTGTATTATTTAATTTTTCTTTATTCTTGTTAAATACAAGTTTTCTTCTGCATATTTATATTGTATTTTTAATCTGGTGATATAATTATAACTAAAATTTATAAAATATAATAAATCTTCTGTTTCTTTAGGTAGTACCTACTGTCTCCCTACCTCAAGAAATGGCAAAATTAGTATATTTGTATTTCTTCCCACCTCCCATCCTCCCCCCACTTAATTTTAGCTACTCATATTATTATTAGGTGTTCTAGAGCTCTCTTGTGTTTCTGTAAATATGTGTAAATATACACTATGTAATTTGTCAGACTTAGATCTTCTGACACCCACTTTTCCCCTTCCCACACTGTAATGGGTAGGAATACACTGCCTTCCTGCTTCTCATCCCTTTCCCACCTCACTGTTATTTATTGTATTATATTGTTTTTATTGGAGTGATTTCAGAAAGGAGGAGAGAGAAAAGCTACTTTACTCTCCTATTTTATAACTGGAAGTCTCAGTTCATCTCTGTCTACTCCACAGTGCCAGCTGCATTACTCTGTGTGGAGTGGTTACTCACTAGATGTAAAATATTGAGCTCGACTTGTCCATAATTGAACTGGCCTGGAAGAATGATTTAATCTATTTGAACATATACACTCAGTTATAGGCAACATTCCACAATTAGAGGCCTTCCCTGCAAGGCAGAGCATTTACCCCTGAGCTGCTCACATGGCGCAGGGCAGACCAGTGCTCTTACTCCCTGCAGGCAGACAGATCTCAAATGTGACCCCCAGCAGGAGCTGATCTATACGGTCCCAGATCCTCCTTCAAAGTCATCAGTCACATAATGCTGGGGAGAAACGAGGCAGTACCTAAGAGAGGCCACTTTTTTTTTTCTAGAAAATCGTTCTCCATATGGAAGGAAACATCAGGAAATGCTGGTGTGTCACATTCACCTCCCCTCCCCTTCCCCCATGTTAGTATCTCACTGGCTTCATGTGGTTCCTGTAATACTGCCTAGATAAAACAAACTATAATTAACCACAATAAATAATTCTAGAAGGAAGGTAATTATATGAGGATCCACTACGCTATTATCACTCCTCTTGGTCTTTGAGATTGTGACAGGCAAAACAATGACTCCCAAAGATTTCCACACCATGCCTTAATCCCTGGAACGTTGGACTTTGTTACAACAAAAGGGTCTTTGCAGATGCGATTAAGTTTATAGACCTTAAAACAGGAGATTATCCTGGATTATCTGGTGGGCTCAATCTAATCACTTGAGCTTTTAAAAGAGGAAGGCAGACCAGTTAGTGAGAGAAATGTGGCAGAAGGAGAGGGAAAAGAAGAAAAGCAACAGGGTGATAAAGGTTCGATGCATCGTTGCTGGCCCTGCAAAGACTGCCAAGAGGCAACTAAGAGCTAAGGATGGCCACTAGCAGACGGCCAGCAAGCAGATATGCTCTCAATTCTACAATCACAAGGAGCTGAATTATGCCAACTAGAGGGGGGATGGAAGTGAATTCTTAGAGCCTCCAGAAAGGAACACAGCCCTGCCCACACCTTCATTTCTGCCTCATGATACCCAAAGCAGAGCATTGGCCTCCTGTCCCTGGACTTCTGACCGACTGAACTCTGCCTAAATGAGTTTGTGCTGTTTTCAGTTGCTTAACTTTATGGTAATTTGTTACGGCGGCAACAATAGAAAACAATTACAGGGATAATTTAGGCAAAATCAAAATTTACTTTGGAGTCTGGTGGTCTACCATGGCTGTCCTCAAGGTCTGTGTCACCGGCCGTGATCTGTAGACACTGAATGGACAGGTGACTACATAAAGCAGCAGGTAAATATGAAAAGAGCTGAAGATCAGTCACTTGAAAGTCTCTCTCTACTTTCAGGAAACAACACAAATAAAAGTGATTCATAATTTCCTCCACGCATTTGATGAATTCAAACATGTCAGTCAGTTGCAGGACTGGTTTTCCTCGTTTATAGGCAACATGTAAATTCCCCATAGAACTTTTGACGGCTCCCTCCTCCCCTGTTTACACCCATACCAGCTGAGTCGTGAAGCTCAGCTCTGTTAGTCAATAGCAAGGACGAGCAGCTGACCCCAGCATCTGTCTTCACTCAGCGTTTCCCCAACAGCACTGTTAACAGTGAAGCTGTACCTTCCCATCTGTAGGGTGAGTTGACGCGGCCTCGGAGAATAAACTAAACCAGCAGATACCTTGTTCAGATGGCTGGACAGTAGCGGCAATCCAAAAGCAGATCAAAAGAAAAAAAACCCTGCCTACTAGCTTAGCCCCTCATGTTAGTATTATAATTAATTTTATCGTTGCATACCAAATTATCCAGACACTTTGCTTTAGAGGTACTTATTTCATTTTCATCTCCACCACACTCCTGGATGTAGATTGCACATGAGCACGGATGTAGATCACAGAGAGGTTAAGTGAATTGACCAAGTAAACACAGCAAGTTCCTGGCAAAACTGGGGCTAGTACACAGGGTTTCTTAATCCTACCTGCTGTTCTCTTCACTTTGACAATGCTTTTTTCCCCCCAAATAAGTAAAATCCTCAGTGTCCTTTAAAGGTCCAGCCAGATGGGTTTTAGACTGACCTAAAGTCTGTCCATTGCCCTTCATTACAATCCAGTGCTTTACCAGCCCGCCATATGACGCTTTCTCTTTTATTCACAATATAACGAGTAAAAAGTTTGAGACAAACATTTTTGTTAATTAATGAAGTTTTTTCCTAAGTTTATCACTGTTATTATAGCTCCTTAGAACAATGATGATTTGCCAATTAATATATGGGGACTCTGGCCTTCCCCTGGACACGGTGTAGTACCCAGTAACGCAGTAATTCTCAGTTTGCTTCTCTTTTGCTGATGACATGCCAGCTTTGTTCTGGGATCCCATGCAGAAAAGAACTGATCGCTTCAAATGAGAAGACAGGACTGTAAAGAGGAATTCCACATACATGAAACAGAAAGAGGTTTAGTGATTTTTGTCCTATGTAAAGTCTGTTCTCATAGACCTTCTCTGGAAGGATAAAAAGGAAGATTTTCCCTGTATACCCTCTTGAAAATTTGAACTTTGTACTGTATGCAAACTATTACTTATTTTGCTAGTAAACTAAGCTTGTATCGTAAAAAGAAAAAAAAGAAAAGAAAAGAAGCCATACAAACAAACAAAAACAGAAAGCAAGTAAACTACAAAAAGAGGAATATAGCTGTAGCAGACAACGGGCTGCCCCGATTCCCAGGGTCCCTTTTTACCTTTGCTGTGCCCTCCCCCCACCACTCCCACCTTCTCCATACTTGCCCTCCTACAGATCAGCACCTGCTGCTCTGCCCTGAAGTGCCCTTGGGCTACTGAAGCCATCTCGCTCACACTGTACAGAGAACTGGAAGTATCCAGGGGTTTGCATTCCAGCTGGGTGGACCTTGTCCAGAGGCTGATGGGCACCGAGGTGCCAAAGTCCACCTCCCTTGTTTCAGTTGTGA